AACTATGGGGAGGAAGTGGGAGGGGAGCTGTTGCATTGTGGTAAACTGTGGTCAATGACATGTGACAAAGTATATGTGAACTGCTGTATGGAAAGAAAATTTGCTCTGTAAATCTTCACCCAAATCACAATTAAAAAAAAATTACAATTAAAAAAAAATTACAATAAAAAAAATCATTTAATATCTTTTGAAAATGAGAGTCATATTTTTGTTTTCTCAAATGCTGTAACCTTTTTTATTTTCTTTATTTGTATAGATAATTATTGCTTTTATTGAACATGTAAGACATAAGAGTTAAACAGCTGTGAAATTTTATGTTATTAAAACCAAGAATTATAGTATTTATCCTAATTGCAAAGAAAAACAAAGTAGCTAACATTCCTCATGTTGGTCTCTGTTTTTTTTTTTTTTTTTTCTTCAGTCATGGGTTTGTAAGTTTCCCGATGGAGTAAGATTGCTATTGAACATTGAATAGCTAATAAAATTTCCAGAGTAAGGGGGGCCCCACAAACTTGAGCTAGCCATGACAATTCTGATCAGAGGAAGGTTTAGGGTTTTGGATTTTTTTTCCTCCATGAAAGTTCAGTTCTGATCTTGGGTAGTGTTTCAGTTACACTTAAGTAGCAGGATTAATTTCTAACTTTGAATTCTTCCACAGAGTTGCTTGTATTTCATCAGTTCTGCTTTTGTGGACTCTTCATGGTACTTTTAGAGCTCAAATCCTAGATCTTGAGATCTAGGTCTGTATGTCTTCTTATGCAAGAATCATTTTTCTCTCAATTGTTCTGTTTGTATCATATTTCAATATATTAATCTGACTACCCATTTCATTCTAATAGGTTTATCGCTCTCCATGGAAACTAAGATCTCCTATTTTCAGGTTTATATAACTTCTTTCTTATCATTTTTTAAGAGTTTCTTAAATCTAGTGCGGTAGTTTGGTTTGTGTGTCAACTTGGCTAGGCCTGGTTGAGTGCCTGGGCAGCTGGTGGTAGTTAATCCCCATGAAGAGACTGGCAATCAGCTCCATGGTGGGATCTACCACAAGCAGCTGGGTAGCTGCCTTTGGGTATGTAGTCCACTTCCTGTATATAAGGAGAAGCTTTGAGAACGGTCTCTAGCCTATGGCATGCTTGGACCCTGTATGTAGCCGTGTCGTTGCTTAGCAACCTGCCATGCTCTGCCGACCTTGGGACTTACAATGGACTTAAGTTAATGGCCTGCCGTGTGGTTTGGTAACATCAGGACTGTGCCTTTTTACTTGTCAACCTTGGGGCTTGTCAGCCTCAGCAGCCAGCGGCTGAGTGAAGAAGTGCCTCTAGCTCCAGTGGGCTGGGAGCAGGAGGCAGAGCTGGACCCCAAGGTTGAGGGGCTTTCACCCAGCCCCTAGAGCCTGGCACTTGAACTTGGATTTAAAGCCTCTAAGTTGTAAGAATAAACTCCTGTTTGTTGAGGCCATCCCATTTGTGGTATATTCCTATCAGAGCAGCACTAGGTAACCAGAACATCTAGTAATCACTTTAATGAATTTGCCATTAAAAGTCACAGACCAATATTTTGTTTCTTCTTTGTTCTTAATGTAATTGATAAGCTAGTATATGTATTCTTTTCATTCTTAGATGAACTTGCACCTACAATTTTGCCTATTGCTTTTGGTATGTGGCTTTTAACCTGACATTTTCAGTCTCAAGGAGCTTTTCTGGTTTTGATTCAGAGAAGAAAAAGAAGAAAAAACTTCTACCTACTTTTGGTTTTGGAGTTCTCCTTCCCAAGTCTCTTATCTCTTCCTCCTGTTGGGCGGAGCTCCCCTTGTTGTTGTTGTTATGTGCCATCCAGTCTGACGACTCATAGGGACTCCTCCTTGGGTTTCCAAGGCAGTATCACTACGGAAGTAGATTGCCCCATTTTCCTTCTGAGGACTGGTTGGTGGGTTTGAACCGCCAGCCTTCTGGTTAGCAATCAAGTGCTTCAGGCACTACACTACCAGAGCTCCCGGCTTTGGTTTCTTACATTGCCTATTTCATATAATTGGGATACATATAATATTTGTCCTTTTGTGATTAACTTACTTCACTCAGCATAACGTTTTCAAGGGTCATCCATGTAGTAGCATGTATTGGGACTTCATTTCTCTTTATGGAAGAGTAATGCTACTTCTCTCCCTTAGCAAGCATTTTTTTAAAACAAAACATTCATTTTTTCAGAGTCTTAAACTGATACAGTCGGGTCACTGGTTTCTCTTTGTTCCTTGCTGTTAAATTATGAAATGCAAACCTTGCAATATCACATTTAAAATTAAATTTTACTTGACAGGTATCACCAAGAGAGCAGCACAACGTCCAAGGACTCAATTCTGTGTCCTTCTCACCTCAACAAGCTGCCCCTTCAAGGCCAAGGTGCCTTTCGGCCCTTACCTACCCCCTCCCGGAGGAGCCGTCAATCCACACCAGAGGGCAAGGCAGTCACTGTGCCATCTTGCACAACAAACACAAAAGAACCCCAGGGACTTGCCAGTCACAAAGACTCTTTAAGTGAAAGCCCTTTCAAGTGTAATGGGAACGGAAATGAGTTTTACTTAGGAAGTTCCTCCCAAGCCTCCCTTTTACAAAGCAACTCAAACCCTGAGAAAAAGGAGTCTGAACTTCATTTGTACATTGTTTCCACAACCTCATCAATATTTCTGCACTTAAAAAGTTCATGGAACAACTATATTATAGTAAGTGTCCTTATAAGTTAACCTCGCCTTGAGTATTGTTTTTAGTGCAATTATGCCTTTGCTGCTCATCTGCGTATTTTGGAAATTTAGCCCCGTAATGTAATAATATTGTGAAAGACAAAATGCACTGCACAACTGAAATGACTTTATTCAGGCTGTTGCAATAGAGAGCGTTCATAAATAAAAATGTTTCAAACAAGTGGAAGGAAACCTATAATTTTATAGTGGCAGGTAAACAATAGTCATTGGCTTGTCTCATGGGAATCATGAGGAAGGATGGAGACAGTCTTACTTCAGAATATTTGAGAGCAGGTGATTTTTGCAGCTGGTTGGGGGCATTTCTCAACTGTCCCTGCTTTCTGGGAACACAAGACACAGATAAAGTTCACATTGCCAATAATTTCTGTATTTCTCAATGGCACCGTAGGGAACCATTTCATAGGATCAGATAATTTTATCTGGAAATCACCTAGTCTGCATCCCATATTTTAAAACAGAGGCACAAATGTTTTAAATAACGTACTCAGAATTATATAATGAGCTTAGGACCAAAGCTAGAACTCCAGTTAGAGATGTTTCTACTTCAACAAGATCATTTAAAAAGGAATGTATTAAAAGAATAATATGGTCCTTTTTCAATTATTATCTTTAGTATATATACTTTTTATTAGTGATCTTACTTCATAATGATATTAAGAATTATGAAAGGCTATTTTACTCAGAAGAAGATAGGAAGCAAGGGGTTTCAGAAATCTAAAAATTGTAAAACATTATAAGACAATTCTAATTTTTTCTCATAGTGCAGACCAAAAGACTTCAACTATTTAAATTTCTTTTTCAAATTTTTAATCCACTTTCCCCAAATTAAGAATGCCAATAAATTATAAATAGAGGAAAACCCTAGTCTGAGGAAGGCTTCACATGTTCTGATAGAAAAATCAAAACTTAAAATTTAAAAAAATTAAAAAAAAACTATGTAAATATTTCAAAATAACAAGTGGATTTTATGACTTTTGACATTGTTTATGCTTCCCTGAGTGAACTCCCAATTTTAGTGCTGTTTTTTAGTTCTACAGCAGAGGCCTGTCAGATTGGCCAGTTCATACCCATCAGGCTACCTATACACAGCCCTTCTGATAATAGATGGAGGAAAAATAACTAACACATATTGTTATTAGCCTGTAGGATCTGTTCTGAGGCTGTACATATATTAACTCATTCAATCTGCACAACCCTTATGTTGTTGTTAGGAGCCCTTGAGTCGTCTCCGATTCATAGTGACCCTATGCACAGTAGAACAAAATACTGCCTGGTCCCACGCCAGCTCCATGACCCCTGTTATACTCAAGCCCATTGCCACAGCCACAACCCCTATATTCCCACTTTATGGGTATGGACATTGAGGCACAGAGACATTAAATGATCTCTACAAGGTCACAGAGATGGAGTTGGGATTTGAACTCAGTCTGAACTTTTTTCTATGACAGTTGAAATAAATGTGGGTGGAGAGGGATTATCTTTATGAATTGTTTTGATACTATAATTAAAAATAATGTTTTACCCCTTGAAAGGCAGAAAATGGATAGATAAATATTTCATATATAAATAAAGCATTTGTTGTACTAAGAATAGAACATTAATTTAATGGAAACATTTATAAATTTGTGACTTTTTTGTGACATTTAAATCCTCTGTAGTCAGGTTGATCACTCTTGGTTAGTCTTGGGGATATTTTCACAGGACTTAGAAAACTGAAAAAAAAAAAACCATCTACATCAGACTTATTTTGGGTAACTGATCCCTTGTGCTTTGAGAATAAGAATGACTTTTCACACTTGAGGTAGGGAAATACTCCTAAGATAAGGAATTGTATGTCTTGATTGAACTCTGGTAGCATAGTGCCTAAGGCACTTGACTGCTAACCAGAAGGCTGGTGGTTCAAACTCACCAGCCACTCCTTGGAAGAAAGATGGGGAAATCTACTTCCATAGTGATACTGACTGGACAGCATATAACAACAACAACATATGTTGAAGTAAAATTAACTTGAACCGTCCAATTGGAAATTAGCACACATCTTGATTTTAAGGGTTTCCAAAATATCGAGTCTCTTTCAGTAACTAATTTTTACCAGAAATAATTATTTGGGTTGTTTGACATCTCACATTCTACAAAGAAGAAATGTAGAGTGTCTTTTCTCTTTATATCTGGTAGAGGAAGCTGCTAGAAAGCTAAAAACCTGATTCCTTCAAATTAAAATTCTAGATGTAAGGTAAGCATAAACATTTGGTCTGGGGAAAAAAAAAGATTTAGTTTCTTTTTGTAGAACTTTGATGAAAGTAGTAAGATAAAGCACATAGTGTCCCAGTGCCCATACTCTGATATTAAGGAATAAAATAGAGGCAAGCTTATGGGGAGTTGTAATTCAGCAACATTTTAGAAATTCCTTCTGGTCTATTTGCCAAGTTTCAACATAAATAAAAGATTATTTAGAGAAGGAGCTGAACAGTACATATCTGTTTTGAGGACCCAGACTACATGGAAATGGCAACGCTAAAGATTTAAGGGAATAGTTAACAAAATTATTGTATATCTATGCTATGGAAAGGAGCTCTGGTGGTGTAGTGCTTAAGGCATTTGATTGCTAACCAGAAGGCTGGTGGTTCAAAACCACCAGCCACTCCTTGGAAAGAAGATGGGACATTCTACTTCTGTAGTGATACCACCTTGGAAACCCAAGGATGGGCCGCTATGAGTCAGATCCAACTCAACGGCAGTGAGTTTGGTTTGGTTTTGGTTATGCTGTGGAAAAGGTACTTGGATGGTGCAAATGGTTTGTGTTCAGCTACTAGTCAAAAGGTTGGCAGTCAAACGCACCCAGCAGCACCACAGAAGAAAGACCTGGCAATCTGCTTCTATAAAAATTATAAAACAAAACAAAACAAAAGATTACAGCCAAGAAAACCCTATGGAGTTCAGCTCTACTCTCTTAACACATGGGGGTCAGAATGAGTCAGAACTGACCTGACGGCAATGTGGAGTTCTGTTTGTTTATGCTATGGAATACTAGGTAATCACTAAATCCCAAACCCAAACCAGACCCACTGCCACAATCAATTCCAACTCATAACCACCCCATTGGGCTTCCAAAGCTGTAAATCTTTATGGAAGTAGATTGCCTCATCTTCCTCTTGTGAAGCAGCTGGTGAGTTTGAACCACCTACCTTCTGATTAGTAGCCAAATGCTTTAACCACTGGACCACCAGAGCTCCTTAATCACTAAATAGATAGAGGTAAATCTTTATGTTTAGATATAGCTGTCCAGCATACATTAAGTGAAAAAACATGTTCCAGATTAATGGATGTGATATTATACAGTTATTATATATAATACATGTCACATACTAATATGCTTTTATATGCCTAGAAGAGTATAAAGCAAGCTGATCATAGTAAGGTACTTTGAATAGTGGGATGGAAAAAAGAGGAAGAAACAGAGAACTTTTATTACTTACTTTATTTCTGTACAGTTTGATTTTTTTAAAACGATGTATTTTATTCTTATTGTTGTTGAGAATATGCATAGCAACTCATATACCAATTCAACCATTTCTACATGTACAGTTAACTGACATCAATCACATTCTTCAAGTTGTGCATTCTGATGCTCCTTTTCCGAGTTGTTTCCCACCCATTCACATACTCACTTCCCCATAAGGTTGTTCCTATTTATTCCTTTGAGTTGTTATTGTCCCTTTGGTCCTATATAGCTAGCTCTTCAAAGAGCATAATGCTCAAGGCAGCCTTTTTATTAGTTAAGTTAAACTACAGTTTGGTTTTAAGAGGACTTCAGGGGATATATTTCATTTAAGTTTTAAAGATTATCTCAGGATAATAGTTTCAGGGGTTTATCTAATCCTCATGGCTCCAGAAAGTCTGGAGTCCATGATAATTTGAGATTCTGTTCTACATTTTCCCCAGTAACTGTTTTTTAATTAGCATATGCTATGTTTAAAATATTATTTTAAAAAAAGATGAGAAACAACTTCCCTATGGTATTAGCAAATATAGGAATGAATTACATAAGCAAATCATGCATCTGGAAGAGATTAAAGAATGTTGTTGTTGTTGTTGTGTGCTGTCGATTCTGACTCATAGTGACCCTACAGAACAGAATACAACTGCCGTGTAGAGTTTCCCAGGCTGCAATCTTCATGGGAGTAGATTGTCAGGTCTTTTCTCCTAAGGAGCCACTGGTAGGTTCAAATTATCAAACTTCAGTTAGTAGCTGAGCACTTAACTGTACCAACAGGGATCCGCAATTAAAGAATAAGTATATGATATTGACTGAAAGTAAGGCAGTTCAAATCCACCAGCCACTCCTCAGAAGAAAGACTGGACAATCTACTTCCATAGTGATACTGCCTTGGAAACCCAAGGTGGGGTCGCTATGAGTTGGGTTCAATTTGACGGCACATAACAACAACAACAAAAGTAAGGGGAATTGATTTTCAGCTTTTTCATTATGATAAAGGGATTTTTTTTTAAATTTATTTTGTTATTGTTGAGAATATACACAGCAAAACATACACCAATTCAACTGTTTCTACATGCACTGTTCAGTGACATTGACTTCATTCTTCAAGTTGATTCTCCCTCTCCTCTTCTGAGTTGTTCTTCCCTCATTAACATAAACACTGCCCCTAAAGTTCCCATCAAATCTGTCGAGTTGCTGTCGTCAATTTTTTCACGTATAGATAGTTCGTAAAACAGCATAATGCTCAAGACAGACATTTTTATTAATTAAGCTAAACTACAGTTTGGTTTTAAGAGGACTTTAGGGGGTATTTTTGGCTTAAGGTTTAAAGATTATCTCAGGGCAATACAGGCAGTCCCTGGGTTACAAATGTTTGACTTACATACAACTCATAGTTATGAATCAACCCCATAAAGTATCCAAAATGACAATTAATGGATCGTTAAATGAACTAGTACTAGAGTTCTATCAAGAAGGAGGTAGATATCTAAATCTGTCAGTTTCTACTTCCAAGTTCTAATTCACTCCCCTCAGGCTGCAATCCCTTATGAAACTGGCAAGGCAGAGAAAGAAAAGTGATATATACAGAGCTCCAGGCCTTGCAGACAGGGAGTGAACAAAGACAAGAACCCCTTTCAGGAAAGGCAGCTAGCTAGTCAGTCAGTCAGTGGCAGAAGGAAATTCAAACCCAGCCTGGGTTTTTCTCCCCAGGCCCCAATGCTGGTTAGTCACACCTTGCTCCACGTATCTGAGGTCCAGGCTGTGGTCGTGACCTGTAGAAGATCCACATGTGGTGGTACTTGGGCAGCAAGGCTACATAGTGCAAGTCAGCCTCCCTGCACACTGCTTGAAGTCACTGTAGCACAGGAGCAAGTCCCCCAGGCCTGGGCCACACCATTGCTCTGTCAGCACCAGTGTCTCTTAGGTGGTGTTCAGTTTGCAGGCCACAGCAACCTGCATCCTACTAGCCCAAAGTATATACAAAATGGTTCTTAATAACAAATGGGCACTACTCTGCAATGCACATCAAAACATTATTACTGTATTATTATGTTAAAGATGTGTTAGTGCACCCAGAGTGTTTCTTTAATTTTTTTTATGCATATAAAGGTACTTTCTGACTCATAGTGACCCTCATTGGGTTTCCAAGGGGGTAAATCTTTGTGAAAATAGATTGCCCCATCTTTCTCCCACCGAGTGGCTGGTGGGTTTGAACTACCAACTTTCTGATTAGCAGACAAATGCCTTAGGCACTGCACCACCAGAGCTCCTTATATAAAGTTACAGCAGATACAGTGTCACTATGGACATAGATTGCCCAACCTTCCTTCTGAAGACAAACATTTTACTAACTGATGTTAGATATAAACCATACCTAACTGTTCCAACATACGTACAAATTCATCTTAAAGACAGATTTAGGAATGGAATTTGTTGCTAATTGGGGGACTGTAGTTTCAGGGGTTTAATCAGCCTCCATGGCTCCAAAAATCTGGAGTCCATGAGAATTTGAAACAAAGGGATTTTTTAAATAAAAATTCTAACCATTTCTATTTTTTTCCTTTCAGAAAGGTACTCTTTTACAAGATCCTTTATATGCTAGTGAGCTCAGTTCTGCAATTGGAAGTCAAAAGCCATATAGGTAAGGAATGATGGTATTACTCTCTCTCCCATTGCTTCTTCTGGTTCTATGAGTTGCTATCACATTTATACCTCTACCTCAACTCTCTGTTTTGAGCAAACTCAATTACCCAATAGACATCATTTCTTATATGTCTCATAGGAGCCGTGAACTCAGCATATTCCAAACAGAACTCAGCATCTTCCTTCTGCACCTAACTTTCCTCTTGTGTTTCCTAACACAGGGCATGATATCTCTATCCCCGGATAGCCTAAGTCAGAGTCCTGGGTGTCAACCTTAACTCTTTTCTCTCCTTCACTATGACCCACATCCAGCCAATCACCACATGATTTATTGTGCTTCTTTAATATATTTGGATAATATCCACTTCATTCCATGGCCACAGGCCCAATTATGTCTGTTTTGGGCGCCTACAGTATTTTCCAGTCTGGCTTTTCTGCCTTCACTGTTGCTCCTTTCTAGTCCATTCTCCACAGCAACCAGAATAATCTTTCCCAAGAACAAATCTGAAGATTTAACTCTCCCCCTTAAAGGCTTTGAATGGCTTCCCATTGCCCTTAAGATGAGGTCTGAACTCCCTTACAGCTTACACATATCTTTGTGATCTGCCTTCTTATTTCTCCATTCTTAACTATTGTGTGCTCCCCTACTTCCTGTCCTAAGCTCCTGCTCCAAGTAAACTTCTCCTTGTTCCCAGAAAGTTCTCTGTTTATCTCCCATCTGGGCCCTAACCTATAGTAGCCCCTACTCTGGAACTCTACTCTCCACTTATGGGGCAGACCAGTTAATGCAGCTATTATTCAAATTTATGCACCAACCACCAAAGCCAGATATGAGGAAATTAAAGATTTCTACCAACTTCTGCCATCTGAAATTGACCAAATATGTGATCAAGATGTGTTGATTATTACTGGTGATCAGAATGCAAAAGTTGGAAACAAAGAAGAATCACCAGTAATTGGAAAATATGGCCTTTGGTGATAGAAATGACACCAGAGATCGCATGACAGAATTTTGCAAGATCAATGACTTATTCAATGCAAATATTTCTTTTCAACAACATAATGTGGCTATACATGTGGACTTCACCAATGGAATACACAGGAATCAGATCTGTGGAAAGAGGCGATGGAGAAGCTCAATATCTTTGGTCAAAACAAGGCGAGGAGCTAAGTATGGAACAGACCATCAACTTGCTAATAGGCAAGTTCAAGTTGAAGCTGAAGACAATTAAAAAACAAGTCCATAAGAGCCAAAATATGCCCTTGATTACATCCCACCTGAATTTAGAGATGATCTAAAGAATATATTTGACGTGTTGAACACCAGAGGAATTGTGGGATAACATCAAGAATAGCATACATGAAGAAAGCAAAACGGGAAGGGAAGAAAAGACCAAATGGATGTCAGAAGAGACTCTGAAACTTGCTCTTGAATGGAGACTAGCTAAAGCAAATGGAAGAAATGACAAGAATAAAGAGCTGAACAGAAGATTTCAAAGAGCAGCTTGAAAAGACAAAGTCAGTTATTTTAATGAAATGTGCAAAGACCTAGAGTTAGAAAGCCAAAAGGGAACAACATGCTTAGCATTTCTCAAGCTGAATGAACTGAAGAAAAAATTCAAGACTCAAGTAGCAATATTAAAAGATTCTATGGGTAAAATATTGACTGATGTAGGAAACATCAAAAGAAGATGGAAGGAATACACAGAGTCACTGTACCAAAAAGAATTGGTCGATGTTCATCCATTTCAGGAAGTGGCATATGATCAAGAACCAACATTACTGAAGGAAGAAGTCAAAGTTGCACTGAAGGAATTGGCAAAATACAAGGCTCCAGGAATTGATGGAATACCTTTGAGATGTTTCAACAAACAGATGCCATACTGGAGGCACTTGTTTGTCAAGCCAAGAAATTTGGAAGATAGCTACATCGCCAACTGACTGGAAGAGATCCACATTTGTGCACATTCCAAAGAAAGCTGATCCCACAGAATGTGGAAATTATCGAATAATATCATTAATTGTTGTTGTTATATGCCATCGCGTCGCACCTGACTCATAGCGACCCCTCCTTGGGTTTCCGAGGCAGTATCACTACAGAAGTAGATTGCCCCATCTTCCTTCCGAGGAGTGGCTGGTGGGCTTGAACCACCAACCTTCTGGTTAACAGTCAAGTGCCTTAGACCCTATGCTACCAGAGCTCCCAATATCATTAATATCACATGCAAATAAAATCTTGCTGAAAATAATTCAAAAACAGTTGCAGTAGTATACTGACAGGGAACTTCCAGAAATGCAAGCCAGATTCAGAAGAGGACATGGAATGAAGGATATCCTTGCTGATGTCAAATGTATTTTGGCTGAAAGCAAAGAATACCAGATATATTTACTTGTGTTTCACTGACTATGCAAAAGCATTTGACTGTGTGGATCATAACAGATTTTGGATAACATTGAGAAGAATGGGAATTCCTGAACACTTAATTGTGCTCATAAAAAACCTGTACATAGACCAGGCAGCTATTGTTTGAACAGAACAAGGGGATACTGTATGGTTTAAAATTAGGAAGGGAGTGCATCAGGGTTGTATCCTTTCACTATACTTATTCAATCTGTGAGCAAATAATCTGAGAAGCTGGATTATATAAAGAAAAACATGGCATCAGGATTGTAGGAAGACTCAGTGACAACCTGCGATATGCAGACAACACAACCTTGCTTGCTGAAAGTGAAGATGATTTGAAGCACTTACTGATGAAGATTAAAGATTACAGTCTGCAGTATGGATTACATCTCAACATAAAGAAAACAAAAATCCTTACAATTGGGCCAATAAGCAGCATTATGATAAATGGAGAAAAAAACTGAAGTTGTCAAAGACTTTCTATTACTTGTTTCCACAATCAACACCAATGAAAGCAGCAGTCAACAAATCAGACATGGTATTGTACTGGGCACATCTTATACAAAAGACCTCTTTAAAGTGCTGAAGAGCAAAGATGTCTCTTTGAAGACTAAGGTGTACCTAACCTAAGACATGGTATTTTCAATCACCTCATATGCATGTGAAAACTGGACAATGAATAAAGTTTGAGTTGTGGTGCTGGTGAAGAATACTGAAAGTACAACGGACTGCCAGAAGAATGAATAAATCTGTCCTGGAAGAAGTGCTGACAGAATGCTCCTTGGAAGCAAGAATGACCAGACTTTGTCTCATCTACTTTGGTCACTGTCAGAAGGGACCACTCTGGGAGAAGGAGGTCATGCTTGGTAAAGTGTAGAGTCAGCAAAAAAGGGGAAGGCCCTCAATGAGATGAAATTACACAGTGGCACCAACAATGGGCTCAGGCATAGCAAGGACTGTGAGGCTGGTGCAGGACAGGGCAGTGTTTCTTTCCATTGTACACAGGGTTGCTATGAGTTGGAGCTGACTTGAAAGCACCTTATAACAACAACAACAACTCTCCATTCTTCTTCCCTGTGGTGGTTATGTTTGTGTGTCAGTTTGGCTGGGCCTGGTTGCATGGCTGGGCAGCTGGTGGTAGTTATTCCCCATGATGAGACTGGCAATCCATGGTGGGATCTACCACAAGCAGCTGAGTAGCTGCCTTTGGGATGTGGTCTGCTTCCTGTATTTAAGAAGCAGCCTTGGGAATGGTCTCTAGCCTATGGCGTGCTTGGACCCTGCATGTAGCTGTGTCTTTGTTGAGCAGCCTGCTATGCTCTGCCGACCTTGGGACTTACAATGGACTTAAGTTAATGGCCTGCCATGTGGTTTGGTAACATCAGGACTGTGCCTTTTTTACTTGTCAACCTTGGGGCTTCTCAGCCTCAACAGCCAGCAGGTGTCTGAGTGAAGAAATGCCTCTAGCTCCAGTGGGCTGGGAGCAGGAGGCAAAGCTGGACCCCAAGGTTGAGGGGCTTTCACCCAGCCCCTAGAGCCTGGCACTTTGAACTTGGACTTAACGCCTCCAATTTTAAGAATAAACTCCTGTTTGTTAAGGCCATCCCATTTGTGTTATATTTCTTGTCAGAGTGGCACTAGGTAACCAGAACATTCCCCTTCCTCAATAAATTCAATCCATCAAGTCTTAGCTCATTAAGCCAATGCCTTAAAAATCTTTTCTTCACCCTTCAAAATTTTGTTAGGATGGGTCCCTCCATAACATCCTATGCTTATTTCTTGTAGCACTTACCGGTCTCTATTTGTTATTTGCTGCCCTATTACTCAGTGTGTTCCTTGAGTGTGCAGGTTGTACCTTGGTGACTGACTGGCACATAGTATCTGCCATTAAGTCTGTATAGAATGAATAAATAAATGAGATAGAATAGATGCTAGAACCAGATCATAAAGGTCCTTATATGTGAGGCTGAGGACTCTGGATTTTTTTATAACATTTATCGTAGTTTTATTATGCTCTTATCACAGTCTGCCTTATATTGTATCCTTGTGTACTTATATTAGGTAGTACTTGTAGTTACTTGTGATTTGACTATCTCTTCCAGTAGACTCTGAACCCTGAAGGCAAAGAGTAAGTCTTACTAATTTTTTTATCTTCCGTACTTAAAACCATGCTTTACGCATAGTAAGCACTATTGAATTGGCAGTGTCAGCAATTTTTGTAAGTAAGTCATGGGTATGTTTCGAGAAATTTATGATATTGAGGCATACTAGGGGTCATGAAAAGCATAATAAGTCAGCTAAGAGTAAGGTAATTTTAAAAGATGCATATTCATTCCCCACTGAAAAAGGAACCAAGTTTCCTTGGAGGAATGGCTGATTCTAAGTCTGGGGAAGGAAATACATAAAATGAGTCTGAAAGAGCTTGTTTTGCCAGAATGCAAAGACTAACAAAGGCCCTAACAAAACAATACAGGAACCCACATAAATGGCAAATTCCTTTTCACAGCATTCCAGTTAATCAATGTGGAAGACTTAATAGAATTAAAGAACTACTACTTTGTAACCTGTAATGAAATAATAGATTCATGGAGTAA